ATGTAATGAGAAAACTAAAATAGTTCATTTGTCTACTTAGGGTACTATCTCTCAGGTTAGAAATGTTAATGCAGAACTCAAGAGTCCCTAAAACCAACCTCACTTCTGATATCAGCTTCAAGTTTGAGAATTTCTAAGATCATACTCACATTGAGGATATTCTAGACAGACACATGTAGCTCACGAATGCTCTTACACTCACCCAGAGAAGTTGGGACAGCTAGCTAACTTCTTCTAGCAATCATATGAAATGACACACATGGCATATTGCTGTCCATGAAGCTCATGGAAGCTTTGGCGATCAGGCTGATACTACCTTGGCAGTATCTCCAGATAAGTAAAATACTGTTACTAGGCAGGACAGATAACTTTTCTGGAGCTGAAGGCAAAGGCCACAATTCTTTTAAATAAGTTTAATTCTTTACTATGTACTCCATTAAATATCAGGTAACACAGACAAGCAAGGAAAGGACAGGGCATCCAAAAATGCTGTTAGTAGAAGGTACGCTTTTATGTTTTTCTTGTATTCCAGTTTTAAAGGACCCTGCTTCTTTTCCTGGTTTTTAAGAGATTGCCATTTCTCTACTTATTAGGCATTCATATTTACATCTTACAGTTTATGGTTCCAAAATAATGTGCACTTAAAATAATTTTCTCATTCCATTCCTCAGAGTTGGACACATTAGGAATGTGCACTCATTAATTTATTCAATGATTTAAATATTTCTTTTTTTTAAGTTTCCAAATTTTTTAAAGCATCTACTGTTGCCAGGCACTAAATTAGTTTCCTGGACATTTAATGGGCTCAACTTTCTTAGGCTGTAATATAAAAGAAAATATTAAATAATTATGCTAATGCATAAATAATTTCTGGCTAAAATAAATTATGGTAAGAGATGGCTTTATGACAGAAACTAACAAAGTAATGACTTAGATTTTAGGATCAATGAGGATACTTTTGATCTGGTGACCAAAATATGAATATAAATTAATGATAGAAAATTGTAGTGGAGGAGAGGCAGTTTAGATAAATAGAATACACAGTGAACATCTTTGATTTGTGAAGATTTGAATAGTGACTGGAATTAAGTAAGGAATATGCAGTACTGGCATCAGATGCAAGAAGTTTTAGGCAAGGGAGCTTCAGTTTTGTTTTTTTTTGTACTGGAGATTGAACTGGGGTCCTTGTGCTTGCAAGGCAGGCAGTGGAACCACTGAGCTGAATCCCCAGTTTGGGAGCTTCAAATTTATTGCACCTGAGGCAAGAACTTCCTTAGTCCACTTGAAGATCAAGGAGATACTTGTGATTGCAAGCCAGCCTGGGAGAAATGTGACAGAAGATGAAGTAAAAGGAACAGGAAATGAGATAGAGAAGAGAGGTAGAAAAAGCAGTCAGAGTGGTACCCAAGGATACTAAAAGTGGAGTAAGGAACAACATGGGTCTTTGCTTAGCTACCAAAATGTGGGTAGCTAATGAAGAGCTTTGAGCAGAAGTGTTTTGATCAGATTTACATTTCAATTAATTTGCTTGCTGTTTGGAAAACAGACCATGAGGAGTCAAGAGTACATCGGGACACCATTGTGGGTGTGGGTTTGCTGGAATATTCCAAGCCAGAGCCGTCAGTAACAGCAGAAGTGATGAGAAGTGATTGGGTTTTAAATACAGCTTGAAACTATGATGAATAAGATCAGCTATAGAAGGTGTGAAAAAGAAATACTGTATCTAGAATGACTCCAAAACTTTTAGTCTGTGTAGTAAGAATGGAAATGGTCTTTACTGAAAATTCAGGGAGAAAATTCAAGTAAGAGCAAATCAAAAGTTTTTTTGAATGTGTGGGATTTTGAGGTGTTCATTAGGTCTTTTAGTGGAGATTCTGAGAGTGAAATTTTTTGTGAGTCTGAAGTTCAAAGAAAAAGTTTTACTGAGTAAATAGTTTGGGAAGCACTTGAGATCTAAAGCTGTGAGAACTGAATGCAGTAACCTTAAGAATTGAATGTAGATGGAGAAAAGTAAAGATGTGAGGGCTGAGTTGTGGAATATTCCAATATCTAGAGGTAAGGAAAAAGAGTGGCCATTGAGGAATAAGAAATGCAAAACAAGTTGAAAAATGTGTCCCTAGAAGAAAGGATGGATAATCTCTGTCAAAGCTGTTAATCACGATGGAGACTGAGAAATAGTCATTGGATTCAGCCATATGAAGCCACTGGTGATCTTATCAAGGGTAGTTATAATAGAAGGTGAAGGAAGAAAGCTTGATGGAATTGAGTTCAAGAAACAATGGAAATGTAATCAGTTTGTACCACAAATATGTTCTAATAAAAATCAAAACCGGAAAAAACCCAATGGTGTTGAAAGGAAGTAGAGGCAGAAAATAAGGAAAATTATTTGTTAAACTTTCTAGTAAAGGGGAACAATAAATAGAAATAGATGTGTGGATCAAGAAATCAAACGACTCACATATACACTGGTTTTCTTCAGCCCTTATTTTTATGTAAAGTGGTGGTCAATTTTGAATTTCATTTTTATATGTGACTTTGTATCATACAATTTTTCAGATGACCACCGTCCATATTTGCACTTCTTGGTGTACTTTATTCTGTTTTGTAACTTTGTTTTGTTTTGTGTGTTGTCTTACTTCTTATAACCATTCTTTTTTGAGCATTTGTAATGTCTCTTTCCTTACAAATCACACTGGGCTACCTCTTACTTCATGTCTTTTCCTCTCCCACTATCTCATTTTCCTGTGATGGTATAGGGTAGAGAAGTATCAAGAATAGTGATCTTCACTCACTGACAAGTTCTAGAATCTGTTACCTGAAAATCTTAAAAGAGGTGGGATGTATTGAATTAATGGGACCCAGAATCTCTAGCACATTAGAATTACCCTGGGAACTTTGGATAATCTGATGTGTAGATCCACTGACACATACTCTCTGGAAAGGCCCAACTATTTCAAACATTTCCAAGGTCATTATAGTACGCAGCCAGATCTGAGAACCAGTGAACTAAGACCACAGTGGCAGGACACTGTAAAGCTTCCATCTCTCCACACCTCCCACTTTTCCTTCTAAAGGTCTGTCTCTTTTAAATCAGGTTCCCACCAAGAATGAAGCGAGCTAATCTTAGCAGCCCTGCTGCACCCAGTCTCAGGCTAGATTGACCACTTTGGTCCTTCACATTTGCACACCTTGTCACTCTCTCCCACCCTTGTAGGCATCATTTTTGCTGTTCTAGGACTGACGTCACCTGCTTTGGATGGCAGGAAGCCAGATCAGAGGCCACGATAAAGCCTTTAGGTATTCTTGCCTGCAAATACTTGAGACTGTATCCTCTTAAAGAAAGATGTACTCTCCCTGAAGCTGAAAAATGCATTTATTTTTAAAAATGGGTGAGAATTGATTTTTACCCCTCAAAGCATTATTTGCTTTGTATTTATGCCTCTCTCTACTGAGCTTCAGGATCCAGAGGACTGTTGTGTGGACACTTTAGGGGTGAGTTATAAAAGAATGGCTCACATAGAAGATGGATTTCTAAATTGCTTGGTTATCCTGTAAAACTTTTGATTTTATTCATCTTTATATTAGTCTACTCAGAGTCCTAAAACTGCTATAGACTGGGTGGCCTAAACAAAAGGCTCTCACCTACCCCCTGTCTTGTTCCTGTGCTCCTGAAGGGTGAGAGGTGCAAGGTGAAGACTCTGGCAGATTCAGTTCAACGAGGGCCTCTGCCAGTTTACATACAGCCACTTTCTTGCCCTGTGCTTATATGGCTTTTCCTAGGTTCATCACATGGGGGATCTCTATTGTGCCCCTTCTTATAAGAGCACTAATTCTCTTATGAAGGATCCACCTTCATGACCCAATTACTTCCCAGAGTTCCTACCTCCTTGCACCATCATGTTGGGAGTTAGGTTTCAATATGTGGTTTTTGAGGGTGCCATAATTCAGTTCATTGCATCCTCCATAAAAAATAGGTACAGGTCTATATATTTCCGATACATAAGATAAAAACAAGAAGAATACCCCTGGAAGAACTGTAGACTTTGTCTTATTCCTTTGTGGTCAGTCTAATGCAGTGTTTTACCTAATATCTCAGAGCCCTTTATTAGGAAATAAACAAGATAGTCAATGACGTAAATTCATCCTTTCCAAGGTAGTGTATTTTAAAGAAGGTGGAATTCCCTTCATGATTTTTTTTTTTTTTTTTTTTTTTTTTTGGTACCGGGGATCGAACTCGGGTCCTTGTGCTTGCGAGGAAGGCACCAGAACCACTGAACTAAATCCCCAGCCCCCTTCATGATATTTTAAAGGATAGGTGCTCACCTCATGGGCACACTCACATACTGAATGTAAACTGGACAGTAGAATTGTTGCTCATCATAGCAGCTTTACTCACCATCAGAACTTGCTATTTTAGAAGCAGTAAAATTACTCAGTTAAAGAAGTTTAGAGTAATTGAATGGAAGGCCTCTTTAACTCAGTAAAATGTTTGAATTAGTAGGCATTTATTATGCTTTGAGTACTAGGGGTTTAACCTAAGTTTCAAGTATGATTTGCTGATTGTTCATATAAACAAATTTGTTTTCAAACAGTCTATTTAAAGTACTTTAACTCTACTGTCCTCCTTTTTAGCTAATTTGCTAAGTCAAGTCAAATTTTAGTACAACTTTTATCTCAGTTTTCATGGAATTTGCAGAGTTGGGTCTGAATAAATAAGACTTTACGTGAAACTATTTATAATCTTTGTTTCCCTCATTTGTTAAATACATGTTTTAATAATGATTGCATCCATAGATAAAGCAGCATAGACTTCATTCTGTTTTTGTTATGGTTCCAAGTTTTCCAAACATTTCTTTCCATTTGTAGACTTCAGTAGGATCAAGTCTAGTGGTACTTTGAGGGGATCAGTAAGAAGTGTTTGAACTCCTGGGGTCACTACCTGTCTCGTGCCCCCTTATCCCTGAAAAGAGTACTGAAGTGGGTGGGTCTTTTCCTTGCAGGAGAATGCCGTGAACGGGGAGCACCTGTGGCTGGAGACCAACGTATCGGGCGACCTCTGCTACCTGGGCGAGGAGAACTGCCAAGTCCGATTTGCAGTGAGTGTGGCCTCAGGCTCCCTCTGTCTTTCTGGGAGGACAGCCTCCCTCTGAGGGAAGAGGGGTCACGTGCCTGAATTTCCTAAGAGGGGTGTGCAAGACTGTCCTTATGGGATGGAAAGCTTCCTGGATGCTTTCAAGGTTGACAGAACATTTATGAAGTAAATATGTCTTCATTGTTATCAATTTTAATGGACTTGGGGTGCTGCTTCCAGATGATGCCCAGGGTTGGTTTGGGGATTGAGGAGAGGGTGAACGTGAATGAAAGCATTGCTGATGGGACAGGGGAGTTTGCGAGCCTTGTGGGGGAAGGGACTAGTGGTCTTGTGGTGTTGTGACTGGGGACTGAAGGTGGAAAGAGCTCTTCTGAGGTCAGTGTAGGTTATCAGATAATCCAGGCTACGCTTTGGAGGATGTAGACACAATCAATCAAAAGTTAAAGTTGTATCAGTTAGAATATCCTTTGCTTGTTAAAATTCATTTTTTGCTCTAATTTAGAACAATCTGTTGAAGGTTTAAAATTCTTTTCAGGTTCTGTAAAGAAAGTCTGGTGGCTAGATAGTAAATAATAGAGGAACTAAACATATAATGTTGAGTAAGTGAGCTTCACACTTTTGCTTGATTTAAAAGGATTTGTCATCATAATAAATATGTAAGGTCATATCTACGTGGGTTTGATTACAGAAACTAATGAAGTATTCTCTAAATAATGAAAAAAAAAGAATAAGACTATAAGAGCAAGAAGCAATTTAAATATGTTCAGTGACCATTTTCATCTCCAGAATTAAGGATTATTTTAATGTTACATCATTGCCTTTTCTCTTTTACTTTCCTTTTTAGTTTTATTTTAGGATTCCCTATTTTTAATGTTCATACAGAGATTTCTTTAACTGATATACCAAATAGTTTCTTTGGTGTGAAAAACTATAATAGTACACACGATCCTAATGAGATAATTAATAATGTGAAATAGGAAGTAAAGGGCTAAAGGTGTAGGGAAAATGGGAAGGGTGCGGGAAAGGTAGTAAGGGAGAGGAAAAAAAATATGAGAAACTGAAAAAATGGAAATAAAGTGTTTTTAAATGGGGAGGGGAGGAGGGGGTGAAGGGAGGGCAGGGACAAGGGGAAAAAATGAGAATCAAGACCTATTATGTAAAGGTGCAGAATTCCAGTGATGAATGTAACTGTATTGTATACCTGGATTGTACCAATAAAAAGAAAAAAAAAGGATTTGTCTAAAAACAGTGTAATAATGGAACTTAGAATGGTAAAGAATAAAGAAAAATGTTTTTATTCTTATGTATTTGGAGAAATGGGCATCATATTTACATAGTACTGTAAAAGATTTCTTGGTGTGTTTATTATGTGTAAGGAAAATTTAGAACAAAGTATTGGACACTAAAATTACAAGTGACTGTGTTTCTGTTATTAATTAGTGAGGAATAAATTGAGTTTTGTCAAAGCTTCGAGAAAAGTATATATGGTCTCCAAGGACTTTTATCTGGCTGCTTGAAAAGGCAAAGACCCAGAACCAAGACCTTTTATATAGTTTTACCAGTTTTGATCCCTAAATATAGGTTTTCTTTGAGAAGATGTTGAAGTTTATTTATTTTATTTTATTTATTTATTTATTTTTGGTAACGGAGATCAGACTTGGGACCTCATGCTTGTGAGAGGCAGGTGGTAGAACCACTGTGCTAAATACCTGGCCCAGACATTGAGGTTTTTGAAGACCAGAGTTTGAGTGAAGTTGGGAGGAGCGAAAGCTCAAGAAAGGGCCCAGATAAAGGGCTATGAATTTGGAGTTAGGAAACCTGGATTTGATTCTCAGTGTTACTGTGTGACACTGAGAATTTGTGGCCTTTTGCCCTTGTCTACCTCCTAGGTAAAAAAGAGGGTCTGATTAAATTAGTTTTAATTTTACTTCTAACTCAGGTGTATAATTAATCATTAGCATTTCTTCTAATCTTGTAAGCTCAATTTAGATATCAGCATTTCAACTAATTTTATGCATATGTATTTTTAATTAGTGTATAATTGCATAGAATTTGATTAACCAAATTTACGAGAAACTCAGTTGTTTGGATTAAAATGCTATAAATAATGAATTAACACTAGGGTCTTAGTTAATTGGGTAAACACTGGTCTTAAGGTATCAAATAATACAAAATGGAACAAAATGAAAGGCAGTCTAACATGTTGGTAACTAATTTGTTAACAGAGTTCTACTTTATCTCCAAACTGTTCCTTTTAATCTTTTTCTGGTACTCTTTTTTTTTTTCAGCTTTAATTGAGTTTATTGGTACATTTTAGGGATACAGTACAGTTACATTCATTGTTGGGATCTTGTATCTCTACATGACAAGTCTTGATTCTCATTTTTTCCCCTTATCTCTGCCCTCCCTTATCCCTGCCTCTCCTCTCCTTTTTCTGATACTCTTTTGGGACAGCCACATGTCACTTCTATTAACAAATATATGAACAGGTACAGGTATCTTCCTTATACCTTGTATCACTATATGGCACTGCTATCCACTGATTGATTGTTATTTGGTGACTACCCCTGAAGACCACGAGAAACAACAAAGAAATAAAAGGATTTTCAGGCAGGAGTATTAGGGAACTGGAGTATGGGAATTTCATGTCCTTGGGCCTCCCTCATAATTTCACTCTATCTACTTGGTCCTATTGACTTAGTATACAAATTCTCTGGAGCTTTTCTATAAAAGGTGTTGATTAACTATGGGAGTAAGTTAAATACCTCTTTGTGTTTCCTCATTATTATAAGTTTCTTAAGGCTCAGTCTGTTCATCTGTCAAGTGAGAAAATGCTGTTTTGAGGATTCAGTGAGATAATGCCTAGAAAGGACTTTTTTGGCCCAATAACAGGTATAATAAATTAAAAGAAACAATCAGGAGTGAACAAAAATGGACAGTTCAGAGAAGGCCTACCAACTCCCAATCTAGAGATAGAGATAGAAACAGAGTCAGCCAAATTAAAACAACTCTGAGAAGTCAAAGTCATGTGTGATTTAAATAACTAAGTTTTCTGAAGTGTCATACTTCCTGCTGGTTAGTTTAGGCTGACAAGGTAGTCTCATGGTCACCTGGCAAGGGAGTCAGTGAATATGCCTGATGAAATTGGCTGCATGTGGTAAAGGCATTAGAAATCCGCCAGCTCTCTCTTCCTGCCTCGCGTTGTGTATGTGTTTTCTTGTAGCACCATGTTTTGGGAGAGACATTGACAAACATCAGAGGACCCAGAGGAACATGCCCAAGGTGATTTGGGGTGTGGAGCCTTGTTGTGAAGAAAAATTGAATCACATGGGTAATAACTGAGTCTGAAGGAGGGAAGGTAGAACAAAGTCTTCAAGTATTTGAAGAGCTGCTGTAAATAAGAGAGAAGTGATTCCCTGTCTGTTTTTAGCCAGGTGGAACCAAGTCATAGGCCTAGAAGTCACTGACTCTTACAGTGGATCTTACTCTGCTATACATAAGCATCACCACATGAACAATTAAAATTAATCTTTATCTTCTTGCTCCACATGCTGATTTAGTAACATATATAGTTGTAAGTCTGTGATTTTCACAAGCACGTAAAATATTCTGGTGCAGATGGCCCACAAGCCTAACTCTGAGAAATACTACAGTATAAATACCTTAATACAGAGTTGTACAACAAGGAAATAAAACGCTTGAAGAGATGGGCTTGAAGGATGTGCTCATGGATAACTTGTATGGCCATACAAAAGTGCTGGAGAGGAGGATGTATATTGCTTTGGGCAAGAGTTCAGTCAAAGCCCATTTCCTCACTGCCCATGCCACCAGGCTCTACGTGTCCAGACTGCACGACTCCTATTCTCTTGTGTGTCTACAGATGCATGTAGGAAATCTCTGCTGAGTGTAAAAACAGCTGTGCAATGGCGTGTGCCCTGTGGCTTATTTTTGTAGGGCTGAGTTCCTCTGGGTTCAGATACTTGGTTGAACATCTCTGTGTGCCCCTTCATCACAGCATGGTTTCTGTGGGAGCCCACTTAACAGGGTGTTTGTCAAACTTAACTAGCTGTCAGTCTCAACACCCTCTGAAGCTCCCTGCTCTGGGTCCGTAGCCCACACACTCTGACAGAATAAGAATGTTATATATGAAGAAACGTATAACAAAATAAATGTCACCAAACAAGAGTGGTCCTCACTAGGGTTTTATTTCAGTTTTTAAAATACCTGTAATGAGGTTGAAAAGTCGACCTTTTTACTCATTTCATTATTTTTGCCTCCGTTTCTCCTTTCCAAACTAACTTGAGAACTTTTACTGATTTGAGAATAAATTTAATCCCATTAAATATCTGCTCACAGATATTCTGTGGCATTTAATTTTGCTGCCAGAGAACCAAAGAAGAGAAAAAGTTTTAAAGGTCACGTGGTTCAGCACTGAGGCTTCAGTGCAAACTCTGCCGTAAGTGTCCTACAGAAGTCACTGCCTTGCTTTCAATCCCTGCCAATATCAGCCCCAAATATTAATCTGTACGGCAGCAAGAAGCCCTAGCTTCATGGACTGCTTTAGATTTAAGCTGATGCTTTAATGCTCCCATAAGTTGTGGGAACCATTTCAATATCTGTGCTGTAACTCTGGTGTCCCCCTAATACTGTCGCATCATCATCAGCAGTTATTGTCACCCTCTAAATTGTCTTGTTTAGACAATATTGTATGGCCACTTCATAAGTATGCAGACATATATGCCATGCTCTATGGTTCAGAAAACAGGAGACCCACACCAAACTCTTTCCATCTTCCATCCTCTTACCACCCCTTCCCATTGTCTCCGTCTTTCCCTGACACACTCTCTGGCATTTATATTCGGCTCACAAGTGCGTTTCCCTTCCAATAGACTTGCTCCTGCCTCTGAGTCTGCTTATGTTCTCCCACCTCAAATGCTCTCCTTCCCCAACTCTAGTTACATAGATCTTACACATCTTTCAAAACTGAACTCCAGTCCCCATTTT